CCCTTCGAGTCATTAAGATAGATTGATATTCCCCTTTACCATGCACAAGTTTAAATTTTTTTAGCATTGTTTTCAAAATACAATGGTCAGTGTCTAATAATTTTACTTGACAAAATGAATTCTCTGGTTCTGGTTTAAATATAATTTAGGGACCTTTTTAAATTAAAAGAAAAAAAAATTATCATGAGTGTGCTTACCATCCGAATAACTCCCTCTCGTCACAAGCAAAGGACCACTTATGAAATTTAGGCAACTTTTATAATAGAATATACATAGGGATAATCATCATTGTATCATACTAAAATTGGGAAGCTTCAATTTATAATGTTAAATTACGATTTTGCCCTCTACAGTAATTCTAAATATTATAAATCAAATTAATTAAATATCAATTAATAAAATTTTAATTATTTTTTGGATTGTAAGTCATTTATTTAACCTAATCCATGGATTAGTTATACCTCTTACAAGGTCTTATTTTATCCCTAGGAAATGGAGGGATAGCTAATCCAAGGTTTAGCAATCCTTGGATATGATCCCTAAATGACTAAATTATCCCCAATTTTTTTTTTTTGGTAATTAATGTTCTTTTTGATTCATATGAGAAATATTTATGAATATTCATTTAACTTCTCCAAATTTGTTCCATGTAATTTGATGATTTCACAAATTAATATTTTTTTCTCCATGTTTGAGTTGTTATATTGGGTTTTTTTTTTTATAAATGTAGTTCGTTGATTGACCACTTGAACTATTTTTTTTATTTTTAAAATAAGCTTCGTGTATTTGAACAATTTAAGGAGCCTTAAATCCATGTTAAGTTCAAAGTATATTTGACCAACAAAAAATTAGAAATATACCGCGTGACATATCGCACCTCAAAATTAATAGTATTTTTATATATATTTTTAATATTTAACTTGACTAGTTAAATGAAATATAAAATCTCACAATAACTCGAGAATATAATAGGAAATAAACTTTTTCTAGAGTTTTAAATCAAACATAAGACTAGGCAGTAAATGATATTATATTTTCAAAGGTCAACTTTTTTTTCCCTCCATCTATTAGTGTGTAGATGACATTTTTTTCAAATAAAATCATAAATTTAAGATTCTATTCAGATGAAGTGGTTAAAAACATAAATATGCAGTTTGTATTAATTAATTTGAATAAATGTTTGTTTTTTAAAGATTATTAAATAAAGATGAGAAAAGAAAACGCATGATTTTGATGTAATGAAATTCATCAGTTACTATTAATTATGAAATTTAGCTAACTGTTAAAATAGAATACGCAGATAAGATATATATTAACTAAGGAAAATATATAAACTGCACCTTAAAGATGATGGCATAAGTTGAATACATATCAAATAATTGTTTACCAAAAATTGGTTGTTTGAATTTTTTATTTCTTTTTTATTATTATTATTATTTATAACAATAATAATAATAATAATAAATAATATTACTATTATTAATAATAATAATCACAAATGTACCTTAATGGTACATCCATTATTTGCTGCAATATTACGTGAAAATTGGCATTTTATGTCTCATTACTCACGAGTTAATATAGTAGAATATGGATATAATTTTCCCTAATTCTTGTAATTTTTAATTCAGTACTCACCAATTATTCTATATCAGATTGTAAGTTATGTAATTTTTGGGCTATTTATATACTCAATTTTCAATCTATTATTTTTTTATTCGTTATAAGAAAGAATTCTTCACGTGTAAATAGTTGTTCTTACTTTGTCTTGGGGATATGAGATAGAGGGTAAGCCAAATACGAGAAGTGTTGTATTGTGTATATTAGGAGTTGAGACAAAAAAATAATATTTTACGTCTTCAACTATATTCACAATACAAAACAGAATAATTATATGTTGAAGGAATGTGCGTGTACTTATGTGGAGTTTTGAGCTCTTCAACTAATCTGGAGTTATTTGAATTATATGGCATTGTTGAGTTGTTGTATTCTGGAGGGCACAAGCCAAGAGTGACATTGCTAGATCGGTTTAGATTATGTCAAAATGGTCTTGAATCTCCTTTAAAAATGCGTCATATTTGCGTCTCAACCAAAAAAGTTAATTTTTTTTTTATGTTCAACTGTAATTATTGTATTTGTAATATATTACACAAACAATTTTAAGGAGATTCATATTTTATTATTGTTTCAAGAAAAGTATGGATATCAAAATGGGATATTATCATTCCGTTCAACGTCATTCTCTTCGAGAGAGGGAAGAGAAGAGTCATGCGGGTAAATATTTCTCTACTTGCTCAATATAAACAAGCGAAGAAAAATTAAAAAAAATACCACATATTTTCATGAATAAAGTCATACTACTTTTTATTGGAAAATGTTGTATAAATTTTTTAGATAGTGGGGATTCATAAAATAAGAAAAAACTCATTGTAAAATTATGATTTGTGCATCTTTAAAAAATGCTCTAAATAAGTATATTGTAAGTACATATATTTTGACTCTAACATGAGAGTTACAAATAAATAATGAAAATCTTCTGAGTATTCATTTTGACATGAAATATTTTGGTGAGATAACTTTTATTTGGAAAGAAAATATAAAATATGTGATGATTTTTTTCTTGTCAAGTCACATTATATGAAATAGGATTGTGAAATGTCTTGCAACAACTATGTGAGAAAATTGTGACAAATAAAAAAAGAGTTTTCTAGCTAAGTAAAAATATGAATTACGTGACTAACAACATGACTTGATATTATGTTTGCAGAAAAAGTCATTAACTGGTACAAACAAACAATATGAGAAAAGTTTGGATATTAGGGCAACAAAATTTCCAATTAGAGATCACAAGCATTAATTGACAGAAGAAAGTTTCGAGACATCAATTTTATTTAGAGATTGAATCAATGTCGAGAGAAAGAATTTTATTTTTTTTGCCAAAGTTAACTTTCAAAGAAGAAACTTTTTTTAATTCAATAATTGGATGTAATACTGACAATGAATAAGAGGTACAAGAGTTTCAAGCATCATTGCAAAAATCGGATGATGTTACCGTTGATTTATACGAGGGTTAGAAAAAAGTTTTATTGGAACATTACATATATTAGATTTATATACGAGAACTAATTGAGGTGGTTGCGTAGATAACAAATATTAGATTTACATACGAGAACTATTTTAAACGGAACCCTTCCTATAATTTTCTACACAACTATTATCTTGCATTTTGAGTGGTTAAATTAGGTCTTAGGCCTAACTCACACCCCAAAAACTAGCTCAAATGGAAGAGGATTGTCCAGCCTCAGTAGGAGTCCAATCATCTCATTAACCACTGATGTGGGACTTTTGTCATTCTTTAACACCCTAACTCACACCTAGTGCTTAACATTTGGTACGTGGGTAATTTTTATTTTGGGGGAAACAACATCGGGTGAGACGGGTCCAGCTCTGATACCATGTGAAATTAGGTCTTAAACGTAACTCACACCCCAAGCCTTATAAGGAGTTCACACATTTGACCACCGAGGTGGAACTTTTTGTCATTCTTTAACACCCCCACCGCATGCCTAGTGCTTAGCATCTGGTGCATGGGCAATTTTGATTTTGGGGGCCCCAACATCGGGTGATTTGGGTCATGCTCTGATATCATGTGAAAATTAGGTTTTAGGCCTAACTCACACCCCAAAAGCTAGCTCAAAGGGAGGAGATCTGTCCAAGCCTTATAAAGAGTCCACCTATCCCATTAACCACCAATAAGGGGCTTTTGTCATTCTTTAACACACACATACACGAATTTTAATTTAAACTTTCTAGTATTAAATTTCAAAGTTCAAATTTGAATTTCGAGTTTCGAACTTTGAAATTTAAATATGAAATTGGAAATTTTAAAAACGTAAGCATTTTTTACTTAGATAAAATTCAAAAAATAACTTCAAAACAATTAAATAAATATATTAAACAGTTTTAAATTCCGCATCCGTCACGTCACGTCGAACACTATCACATCCCATTAATATAGTGGGATGGAACGAGACTTCAAATAGTCCCACAAATCTCGATAAGGTTAATCCCGGGATCGGTTGAATCCCAATCAATCATTGGCTCATCCCGTCCACCTTTGTCCCGTCTCGCAGTCCTAGTCCTCTTGCCAGCCCTAGCCTGTACACATACCCAAACAAAGATTGATCGACGGGGTAAAGGACATTTTGGTAATTTATATTGAATTTTACCTACTTAAGAGTCTTGTAACATTTGCATATATTATCCTTTTATTTTTTACTTCACCACACTTTTTAAAAACCTACCTACTCTGCCTACTTTATTCATTTCTTCTGCTTTCTTCTCGGTTCCGCCGCTTAGTTTATGTTCACTAATAAGGTTTGTTCTATTTTAACCTGTTTTTCTTTTTGTTTATCCAATGTCGGTATTATTCTTCTCGATTTGTTAAATGTCATTAGACCTATAAATGATACATTGAATAAGGTCTTCCAATATCATGAATAGATTGATTGTTTCGTTTTTGTATCATTTCAAAAGAAAAGAGATCTCAGGAAGAGTCCTAAAGTAGTATGACATTGATTGTTTTTCTAGTTCTATTGTATGTGTGGATTATCTAAATGAAAGCGTTCTTTTTTCCTCAAGTAAGGGTTGTCATAACTTGTATCGATTTTTCCGACGTTAAATAATTTCCCTAGTAGAGTCTTAAGGGCTCTTTGAGAAAGGGTTATATTAGTTTTATTAGGTATCCCTGAACAAAGAATCGGTTTTTTTTTGTAATTTCTATTGAATTTTACCTACTTCAAAGTGTTGTACGTTTATAAGCGCTATTCTTTCATTCTTGACTTCACCACATTTGCCAAAAGTCCAGTGTGTTACTTTGCTTATGTGATCAACATTAATTTAAATGTGAAAATTTCAATTCAAGTAGTAATAGTTATCAGTATTAATTTCCCCCTTTTCAGTATTAGCCCTTTGTTGTTTCTCAACAACAGAAAAGTGGCATGTCAACTAGGAGTGAGAAAGATCAATTCCTTAGTAGTCTTGGCGATGACGGAAACTCCGAAAGTTGGCTTGTTGGAAACTCACCTCAGAAAAATGTGAAAATTGAGACAGGATGTAATGACGAAACTGACCTCGTTGATAGAATCAGTCATCTACCTCACGCTCTAATTGTTCAGATTCTTTCTCGACTGTCCATAATTGATGCCTTCAGAACAAGTATTCTTTCTAAAGATTGGCGATACTTCTGGACTGCTATCGACAATCTTGTTTATGACAATGAGGAGTTTAATTGTTCAGATAGCTCGATGGTACACAAATTCATTTCCTTAACAGATAATGTACTACCTCTCCTTAGCAGCTCTAGCATTAAAAAGTGCAGTCTAAACTTTGTGTTCAGACATAATGATGAGGTGTCTTATTTTCCCGTAATTGACAAGTGGCTAGAATTTGCTGTCAACAAGAAAGTGGAGGGTCTAAGCCTGAAGATAAGTTATGATACTGATGATATTGAGAATGACCAACCTTATAGTCTTCCAAAAGTTTTCTGTAGTAGTTCGTCGATCCAAAAACTCAAATGCCAGAATTGCAGAATATTAGACGACTGTGTATTAAATTGGACATCGTTGAAGATTTTGACATTGGAAGATTTGTTAATCCAGGATAAACACATTAGCCAAATAATGTCCAATAGCCCTCAGTTGGAATCATTCAGTCTCTATAAATTTTGTGGATTTAATTATTTGCACATGACTTCTCCAAATTGTAAGAAACTTAAATTGATTGATCACTATCATCCTACTGGAGATTGGTTTTCATTCGAAGGTGATTGTTGCTTTGAAGTTGTTGCTCCGTATGTTGAACATTTAACGATTTTTGGAGATTTTGATTATACGATTATTGAGCTTAAGGACTTGTCATCTTTGGACCATGCCAAACTTGATCTCTGTAGTGATGAGTTTGATTCGCTGGATGAGGGCATACTCATAGATCTTTTGGTAAGCGTTGGTTGTGCTAATGAGCTAATACTTTCATCCTGGTTTATCAAGGTCAGTTATCAGTTTCAAATGTCTCTTGTCTTTAATTTTTATGTTAATTGTGAATAGAGCTCCATATATCTATATTTTATATTAATATTGAATCCTTTATTTTTTGATTTAGTTGTAGCATTGGGGTAATAATTATGTCAATTAAAGGTCGTGAACCTGATGAATCATCTCCTAATTTACTAATTATATTGTTTTGATCTAGTATGCGAGGTTAAATATTGGTTCCTTCTATTGCTTTAAGATGGCAACTACAAGTTCTTACAAGAGAAAATCAATAGATCTCCTAAGTTTGTTAAACTTCTTAGAAGAGAAATTGAGATACCTTGCCATGGAATTGGTTGAGTCGGGAGAGAAAAAACATTTTATTTCATCTGTAAAGCAAAATAATCTAGAAAAAATGGTGGCGGAGGAGGAAATATAGAAGGAAAAGTAAGGGAAACTCGTCTCATCAAACCTGACATCTCTAGATAAAAAAAATCAGCCTACTTGTTTAAATCAACAAGCTTATCTGTCCTTTTTGGTCATGTAATAACTATAAAAAGCACAACTGATCAATCTGGATTTAAACATATCCTATAAGGCTTAGGTATTGCAGCAAAACTAAGGAAACCAAAAGGTTGGAGGTAGCAATTTTATATAGGAGACCATAATAAGGAATGATATTTTGTAACAAACATGAAGAAAGTCCATTAAAAAGATAATTAGTAGTGAGGACACACTCACCCCAATATTTTATCGGATGTTTGAATTAAAATAGTATAGATCATGTGAAATTAGGTCTTAGGCCTAACTCACATTACCGAAATCTAGCTCATAGATAGAGGATTGTCCAAGATTTATAAGGAGTCCAGTCATCTCATTAATCACCGATGTGGGACGCGCCCCATGCTTAGCAACTGGTGCATTGACAATTTTGATTTTGGGGGTCCCAACATCGGATGAGACGGACCCGGCTCTAATACCATGTGAAATTAGATCTTAAGTCTAACTCACACTCCAAAAGTTAGCTCAAATAGATCAAGAAATCACCAATAAGTGCATCATTTTATTGTGGGGTACGAAGAGTAGATGTTTGACATATAATATCAAGAGAAGAAATTTAAAAATAATTTAGTGCTAGAACCCAACTTAAAAGTATTGTCATATCTTAGAGTATAAATTGTGACATGAAATTGAGTCTGAACCTTGAAGAGAAATGACTTATAAGAGAAAATCATTAGACTTGGTAGATAGTAAGAGTGTCCAAGTGGAATTGAAAAAAATCATCTAATGTGGTTAGATAATGTTTATTGTCATTGTAAGTTTGGGTATGGTAGGTGTTGGGAATAAATCCGTAACAGAAATAATATTTGTGGTAATAAAGGTTATAAATGTGGAACACAACAATATAGCTAATCAACGAGAATAAAAGAGAAATAATGACACCAAGATTTTATGTGGAAACTCTCCTAAATAAGGGAAAAACCACGACCCGAGAGGAGGAACGAATATCACTATAGTAAGGATTTTACACTTGTATGTATGAGCAAAACTCCAAAGACCACTACACATTCAAAAGAAATAACATTTTTTTTATTTTTCCACCTCACTACAATATCTCTCACACTCTTTATTTTTTCCTCACGGATTATTTTCCTCTGTGATGCCTCGCTCTTCTTTTTTCTCCTTTGTAATTTTTTTTGGGTGCATTTTTTAAATGAGCAAGAGCTCTGTATTTATAGAAAAATCTACTCCTAATGATATCACCAGTGACATCACAAAAAACACAAGGTTTCAACCTTTTCACCTATGCAAATTTCTTGGTAAGATTTTAGTTGAAAAAAGAAATTGTGATCTTTTGTTTGTTGCAGCATATGTTGACTTTAACAATAAGCAACAAACAAAATTCAACCGTTCCTGCATTTTAACTTTTCTTATGTTTATCTACAATGGGTATGGACCCCACAAATCTCCCCTCCCCCCATACCCATTCACCTGAAGGAGGTAGCTCTAGGTTTCTAGCTTGAGTGCATGCCAACAAGTTCTTTGCATAGCTCAAATTTGTCCCTTGATACCACCTTGGTCAGCATATCTGAAGGGTTTTCACTACTAGGGATCTTCATGACCTGCATAGATCCGTCCTCTATTTTTTCACGAATCCAGTGATATCTCACGTCGATATGCTTCGTCCTTGCATGATACATAGTGTTCTTGCTCAAGTCTATTGCACTGTGAATGTCACAATAGACGACATACTTCTTCTGATGCAATCCAAGTTCTTGAAGAAATCATTTCAGCCATACCATCTCTTTGCAAGCTTCAGTAGCTGCAATATATTCTGCCTCAGTTGTAGAAAGTGCGACACACTTCTGCAACTTCGACTGCCATGATATCGTTCCCCCTGAAAATATAAACAAATATCCGATAGTGGATTTTCTGTTATCGAGGTCACCTGGCATATTAGCATCAGTATAGCCCTTCAAGATTGGATCAGATCATTTAAAACACAAGCAATCTCTTGTGGTACCTCTTAGGTACCTGAGTATCCACTTAACTGCCTCCTAGTGTTCTTTTCCAGGATATTCAAGGAATCTGCTAACAACACCAACTGCATGAGAAATATCAGGTCTTGTACACACCATTGCTTACATCAAACTCCCCACTGCTGAAGAATAAAGAACTTTAGCCATTCCCTTTTTCTTCTCTTTTGTTGTAGGACACATCTGTTTGCTCAGCTTCAGACGACTCACAAGAGGCGTGCTAACATTTTTAGCACTCTTCATGTTGAAGCGTTCTAGTATATGTTCAATGTAATTCTCTTGAGATAGCTACAACTTTCTTTTTGTTCATTCTCGAACAATCTTCATCCCTAGAATTTGTTGTGCTGGGCCCAAGTCTTTCATGTCAAATGACTTGGACAAATCTTTCTTCAACTTTGCAATCAGCTCTTTGTCTTGTCCTACAATTAACATGTTATCCACATATAACAACAAAATAGTAAAATTTTTTGTCAGGAAATCTTTTGAAGTATACACATGGATCAGAATAGGTCTTTGTGTACATTTGACTTTTTATGATAGAGTCAAAAAATTTGTACCATTGCCTTGGGCCTGTTTCAACTCATAAAGACTCTTATTCAATTTGCACACTATGTGTTTCTTTCCAGATACTTCAAATCCCTCTGGTTGCTCCATATAAATCTCTTCTTCCAAATCTTCGTGAAGAAATGCAGTTTTCACGTCCAATTGCTCTACTTCAAGATCTAGACTAGCTGTTATGCTCAAAATAGTTCAAATAGAAGTCATTTTGACAACAGGTGAAATTTTTTTATCAAAATCAATACCTTTCTTTTGTTCAAAGCCTTTTACAACCAATCGAGCTTTGTACCTGACCAACTTGCCATTTCCATCTTTTTTGAGTTTAAAGACCCACTTGCACTTAAGTGGTCTTTTTCCTTTTGGAAGTTCAACTAGCTGGTATGTGCCATTTTTCTGTAGAGATCCCATCTCTTCGTGCATGGCTTTCATCCATTGTCTCTTTTCTGGGTTATACAACACCTCCTTAAGACTTTTTGGCTCACCTTCATCATTGATAAGGACATTCTCTGAGGAAGGGTATTTGGTTGATTCTACCCTTTGTCTTTCTGATCTCCTCAAAGGTTGAGATTGTTCTTCTTCTTTTGGGTACTCTATTTGCTCGGTATTATCACCAAGTTGCTCCCCCTGCTCAACAATCTCATCAGGTTGATCTTCATGCTCAGCAACTTCATCAATCGTACTTTCTGCACTTATGAGATGGTTAGAAGAAGAAGGAACAGTAACAAGATTAGGGACTATACCATTCTTTTTCTTGTCTTTCTCGGATAGATCATTAGTAGTTCCAACTTCACTTTCTCAAAAGATTACATCTCTACTTCTGATGACCTTCTTCTTTACAAGATCCTATAGTCTGTACCCGAACTCTTCATCTCCATATCCGATGAATATGCAAGGAACTGATTTATCATCTAGCTTGGTTCTTTGCTTCTTCGGTACATGTGTAAAAGCTTTGTAACCAAACACCTTTAGGTGCAAGTAAGACATCTCTTTGTTGGTTCAAACTCTCTCCGAAATGTCAAACTCCAACGGAACTGATGGACTAAAACTTATAAGATAACACGTTGTCCGAACTGCTTCACCCCAAAATATCTTGGGTAATTTAGCCATTCTGAGCATGCTTCTCACTTTCTCAACAATGGTGCGATTCATTCTCTCAGCTACACCATTGTGTTGTGGGGTTCCAGAAACTGTTGTTTCATGTCTGATCCATGGTTTGAACAGTACTCTTCAAATTCTCTTGAAGTGTACTGACCTCCATTGTCGGTTCGAAGAAGTTTTAGCTTTCGACATGTCTCTCTTTCTATCAGAGTATGAAACTTTCGAAATACTTAAAACACCTGATCTTTGGTTCTCAAGATATAAACTCACAGTTTTCAAAAAACGTCATCAATAAAAGTAACAAAGTATTTATTACCTCCTATTGATTTTATCTCCATTGGATCACAAACATCAGAATATACCAAATCAAGTATATTCAACTTTCTTTCAGATGATGTCTGAAATGAGACTCTATGTTGTTTACCAAATAAGCATTAGTTACACGATTTTATCGTTGTACCTTTGACAAAAGAGATGAGTGACTTTTTGGAAAGAATTTGCAATCCTTTCTCGCTCATATGACTCATTCTTTTATGCCATAAATCTGCAGAATTTTCTTCATGAGCCGTATTTAATTCACCTTGGCATATTTCTGTATTTGTCCTGTATAACGTACCATGAGCAACTCCTTTTGCAATCATCAATGCCCCTTTGGTGAATCTCCATTTCTTATTTGCAAAGTAGTTCTCATATCCATCTCGGTCCAAAACAACTCCTGAGATCAAGTTCATCCGCAAATCAGGTACGTGGCGCACATCTTTCAACACTAATGTGCATCCAACATTTGTTTTAAAGCAAATGTCTCCGATCCCTGCAATCTTTGAGTAACTTGTGTTACCCATTTTCACACTGCCATAATCACCGGCTACATATCTGCAAAAAATATTTCTTACCGGTGTGGCATGATAAGATGTTGTTGTGTCGACCACCCATTCCGACTCTATACCTGCCAAGTGCATGCATTCTTCTTCCTCATTTATGAGGAGAACAACATTGTCATTATTTTGCACCATGGCAGTTGTGTTGTCATTATTCTTCTGTTCGTTGCTTTCCCCTTTGCCCCTTTTTAGATTTGGACAATCTCTTTTGAAGTGTCCTGGTTGATCGCAATTATAGCGATTTCTGGCCTTCGATTTTGATCGGACCTTGGACTTTGCACGAGCTCCGGATCTACCATAGTTACTTGAGCTCTTTTGGTAACTTCTGCCTCTACTTTCCGTGATGAGAGCATGTCCGTGATTTTCAAGTCTTTTTCTCATCTTCTCATTAAGCAAAAGGGCTGATGTGACATCCTTCAACTCAATAGAGTCCTTACCATGTAAAATAGTTGTTGCTAAAGTATCGTAGGAAGATGGCAACGAGTTTAGGAGCATTATGGCTTTATCTTCATCCTCGATCTTTACTCCGAGGTTTGCTAGCTGCATGATTAGTCCATTAAGTACATTTAAATGAGACAAAAAATTTGTACCTTCACCCATATGTAGCGCATATAATTGCTTCTTCAGGTACAATATATTTGTGAGCGTTTTGGACATGTATAGATTTTCTAACTTTGTCCAGATGCCACATGCACTCTCTTTATCAATGATGTTATTAACTACATCATCTGTTAAGTGCAATCTGATTGCACTAGCAGCCTTTTCATCCATTTCTTCCCAATCCCCAAGTTTCATGGATTCAGGCTTTTTGAATTTTCCGCCTAGTGCCTTGTGCAAACCTTGTTGGATGAGCAAGTCTTTCATCCTTCTCTGCCACGTTGAGAAACCGCTATCACCGTTGAATTTTGCTACCTCTTACTTTACTCCAGACATATTTTTTTATTGAGTATAGTACAATAAGCTGCAAAAAATATTTCTGTAAATGAGCAGAACATGTGCTCTGATACCAATTGTTGGGAATAAATCCGTACTAGAAATAATATTTGTGGTAATAAAGGCTATAAATGCGGAACACAACAATACGACTAATCAATGAGAATAAATGAGAAATAATGATACCAAGATTTTACGTGAAAACCCTCCTAAATAACGAAAAAACCACGACCTGAGAGGAGCAACGAATATCACTATAGTAAGAATTTTACACTTGTATGCCTGAGCAAAACTCCAAAGACCACTAAACATTCAAAGAAATAACACTCTTTTAAATTTCCCACCTCACTACAATATCGCTCACACTCACTATTTTTTCCTCACAGATTATTTTCCTCTGGGTGATGCCTCACTCTTCTTTTCTCTCCTTTGTAATTTTTTTTGGTGCATTTTTTAAATGAGCAAGAGCTCTGTATTTATAGGAAAATCTACTCCTAATGATGTCACCAGTGACATCACAAAAAACACAAGGTTTCAATCTTTTCACCTATGCTGATTTCTTGGTAAGATTTTAGTTGAAAAAAGAAATGGTCAGCTTTAGTTTGTTGCAGCATTTGTTGACTTTAACGATAAGTAACAAACAAAATGATAGTCTCTGCTGTCTAGCCATAGGTAATTGAGCATTTTTATTGACAATTGATTTCATCTTATGATAAAGCATGTGGTCTTAATCTCAAATGTCATAGTAAAGCAAGATCATTCTGAAACAAACAAAAGAAGGCATATATGTGGATATTGGAACAGAACTAGAAACAATAGGTTTACTCAAAGAAAGAATTGTGTTATTGTCAATAAAAGTAACAACATTAACTTTATTATCAACACAAGTAGTAGCCACAGTGAAACTTACATAATGCAAAGTCAAAAGGGATTATGTATGCATAATGTAAAGCCCTTGATACAATTTATATCAAGTTTCAATGGCCTCTTCAAAGAAGGGCCCGGTAGAACACAATAGTAAAGTAGTTCACTAAGCTCCACAGTTCCAATGGCCTCTACATATGTTTGTTTTCTATACAACTTATGAAGGCTTGACAAAGATGAAAGAAACAGAACAATTTTAACACTTGACTTTACTTACCTAATTCTGTTCTGTTTCATCCTTTTGTTTAGGTGATTTCCACTTCGATGATGGACGAGGAATTGAAAGTCTCCTTACCGTTGCTACAATGCAGATGGTTGACAATAAGTTCTTATGTTTCAAAAGTTTCCTTCCTCATGCTAGACAAACTCTTAAGGTCGACTCCTAATTTGGAAAATTTGATGATGTTTCCTGATTTGGAGGTATGTTATTATTCATCTCATTATTTTCTTCCAGTTTGTATTTTTCATTTACGCGTCAAATGTTGATTACAATGTAACATTACAGAGTGTGTGATTCAATTTCAGGACTTCTCAATTTTTCAGAACGCGGAAAAAGACACTGAGGCGCTGGAATTATATGACCCCCTCTCATTTCAAGATAACATATTCAAAGATCATTTACAGAATTTGAAGATTGTCAAGGTTATGCCATTTTGTACATCCGAAGCAACAGAGCTCGATCAATTCTTGAAGTTCTTACTTGAGCACGCGATAAATTTGGAGAAACTGGTTATACTGCCAGAGCATAAGGGATGCAACAATTGCGCTACTAATACCTCACAGTTGAGAAAGTGTTTGTCACTTTTTCCAAGAGCTTCTATGAGTGCAGTTATTTCCTTAGGACCAGTTACCAAAAATGTTTTTAATACTCTTTAGTTATGTTTGAAACTCTCTTGTGATTATAAGGACACAAGGCTGGGATATCGTGATTATAATTTGGATATTGCTTGTAATTTGTTTTAACTGACATTGTGATTTTAGTAGTTTTTTTCTTTCTATTCGTCAGTGTGTAATTATTTCTAGATGATGCACAAGTCGTAAAGTTTGAGTCCAGAGTCGAAGGAGTCATTTGTTTCTTCCAAAATGCTTAAAGGGCCACTGAAATACTTTTAAAATCAAAACGGACAATTCGTTGCTCCAACAACAAGATCCTTTTTTATTAATGTCCGAAATTCGCCCTTTACCTTAACCTGAGGTTTGTGTTCGTAAAAAAGAGAGATGGTTGGCATCTTCCCCCACAGACTATGGTTTTATCTGTTACCACATATTCGTTCAAGGCATTCGACCTCTCTGAGATTAGTAAAAGGATGTACTTATTCCTTAGCAAGAAATCTCATTTTCGAACTCTTAGTAGAAAAAAGTCTTAGCACCAAATAAGTTTAAAAATTTTACCATTGTGATTTTTGAATACAATGACAACTGTCTTATGATTTTCATGAGATAAAAAAATTGTCTAATTTTGGTTAAAGAAAATTTACTTTAGGGGCCATTTATGAAATTTAGCGAAGTTTTATAATGGTATATATATATAGATATATATATAACAAGGGTAAATTACGGTGAAATTCTCAGTTACATTAGTAAACTATGTGGTGTCAAATTACCACCCGTTTTTTTTCTTCAAATTATTGAATTTTTTAACTAATGACCTAGTAACAAAACAAGTTAGAAGATATCAGATATATAAATATGTCTATACTTGACAAGAAGGATGAGTTTTAGAGTCTTATTCTGATTCAAATCTATTCACTACAACAAAAGTAATCATTAGCGGCAATTAATTCTTATTAATTATCGTTAAATATGTATTTTTAACGATAATTGACACTTTTTGTATATATCCCTAAAGCCTTTAGCGACATTGATTCTAATGACACTTAACTAATGTTGGTAAAGACTTTAGCACTCTTTATTAATGTCAATATATATATATGTGTATATATTTATAAATCAAGCATGAATTTCATTTTAAAAAAATTGTGCATAGAAAAAGAAGATTGTAATGTAGGAAATAAAACCAAAAAATTTCCATCCCAAATCTGCCTAAATCTGCTATATATTGTTGAAACTAAATATATATATATATATATGATAAATATTTAAAGTTAATTATGTATGTAAGATCGAATTTTATTCATTTATTCATGGTGCATGTGTGATTTTCTCTTAAAGAATATAGTTAGGCCAGAGTTGATTAACTAGATAATTATCCCTGATAAATTAGTAGAAAAACTTGCAGCATTTACTATAGTTGAGTTTTAAATTGGTGTTATTATAGTAACATAAAGAATTTAGGGCCGTTGTTTGATAGCTTGATAAAATAAGCCTTATTCATGTATTCGAGTTTGTATAATTTATATGACGTTTTGTAGGTGAAGAAGAAAAAGGTTATTCATGTATATAATTAACACGATGTTTGATAATGGATAAGAAAAAAAATATTCATATATATAATTAATACGATGCTTGGTAGGTGAATAAGAAAAAAAAGTTATTTGTGTATAAAATCAATACAACGTCAATTTTGAAATGCACACAATTAAATACATGTATAAGTTATGAGGAAATTTATGCATTATATATGTGGCGGAGTGAGAGGTGGAATAATTATTACGGGGCCATTTAGTTATTTGTTAGAGTTATGCAAGTATTAGTTATACATGTATAATAATTTAAGGTTAGAGTTATGCAGGTGTTCGTTATATATATATTAGTAATGCAGGATTTTAGTTATACAGGTATTAGTTATATAGGCATTAGTAATGCAGGGTTTAGTTTTTCATGTATTAGTTATACAGGGTTTAGTTATGTTGAGTTTTAACTATATGGATATTAGTTATGTAGATATTATATAGTTATGTATAGATTACAATACATGAATTATTAACTATTTAATATTAAACTTGTTGTAAATCATTAATATATATTTTTTATAAAATAATAATACATGCTTATTAAATGTGGAATATATCGAATAATGTGTAATACTTGATTAGCGTATATACCATCAAAAATATACAATCAAATTTTTAATATTAAAAAAAATATTTATATTTACATAAATAAATAAATAAAAATTGTAAGTATATAAAAAAAATGAAAATGGTATGTATCTAAAAAGAAACAAAAACAACAAAATGTAGATAGAAAAGTAAAGTTTAGTTTTCAATTAAAATAAAATAAGTTAATAGGGTAAATATGTAATTATCATTTTAATACATGTATGACTAAGACCCACATAATGTATTCCCACCTTCTACTTTTGCATAACTTAATACATAGATTTCCTCATAAGTTATGTTGGTATTAATCATGTAAGACTACAAAAAATGTAACAAAACACAATATAAATTAACACATGAACAATTTTTGTACAACATTTAAATTCTTACCAACCAAACATGGTATAAGTTATGTTGACTTTTATACGTAATGCAAAATTTCAACCAAACATAGTAAAGCTAATGCAACTTTTTATACATGAATAAGATGTATTAGTTTATACAGTAACCAAACGACCCCTATCTGTATAGCTAATACATGAAAAAAAAGATAAAATGACAATATTATATATCCTTATCACTTTCACTTGACTACTTTCTTCTTTTACATAATTAAAGAAATATTTTAATTTAAATACAAAGTTAAAGAAGAAACGATCTCTAATTATAAAAAAAAATGTTATAATTTAATAGTTTTACTAATTTTTAATATAAGGAACCAACATCGAAAGAAATAATTTATGCATAACTAAACTCCATATAACTAAACCTTATCATATAACTAAACCTTACATAGTTAATACTTGTATAACTAATACATGCATAATTAAGACATGTATAACTAATACTCACATTACTAATAATCGCATAATTAATACCACTTTACTAATACTTATATAACTAATACACACATTACTAATATATGCATAATTAATATTCATATTATTAATATATATATAACTCTATCCAGCTACCAAGCGACCCCTAACCCTATCAATTTTATATTTTTGATGGTGCATGATCCCTTTATATATTGGATACTCCCTCCATCTCATATTATATGTCACATTTTTTATTTGCACTTACATTAAGAAATAAGATAATTTTACTTTTATGTCTTTATTTAATGTTTGCTTATGATAACTTTGTTATAAATGACGAAATGTTAGATTTCAAAAATACAAATGCATTTGGATGACTATTTAAATTTAAGAATTTATTTTGGAGCCAAATTTTTACCAACTGATCCGAAAACAATTTAAAATCAAGTTTTTCCCACCTCATTTTTCCTATATATTTTGTGTAAAAATTTTTTAATATAAATTGTTAAAGCAAACGTGACAACATTAGAGATGATTTATGTAGTTGTTACCTTCATTTTATCTTTTTTGTTCTTTTTTTTTCTTTTTCAATCAATACCAGATGAAAACTTAAATGATGATCACGTAAACAAACAGTCATCAGGATCATTAACTCTTGTTTAACTACATTAGAGATGATTCATGTAGTTGTAACCTCCATTTCATTTTTTATTTTTAATTTGTTTGTTGATATATTTTTTTTCAAATTAGGATTTTATAGAATAAGTAGTGAATGAAGAAATTAGTTAATGAATGAATGAAGTATTCTTCAATGAAATTAGTTGCTTGTAGATTTTCTAGGTTAGTCAAAATAAATATATTTATAAGATTAATTAATTAATCTATTAAGAGTATAATAGACAAAAATTATAATTTATGCATAAATTTCAAAAAATGACATATATTATGGTTCAACTATTTTTAAATTATATAATATAGGACGTTGGGAACCTAATAAAGGGGAAGGGGGGGGGGGGTTATGCATATATAAGATTTGTTCAAGAAAGTGGGGAAACATAGAAGTCCAATAAATATGAGTCGTCAAATTAGATGGGTTGTTGGAAAAGGAGGCATAGTTGGTTTGATGAGAGATCACTTCATTGGTATATGTAAACCATTTGTTGGCTTTTAGGTGTGATGAATAACAAAGACCACCATTGCTTGTTGCAACCTATTACCCCTTCATGACACTTTTTTTCAACTATTTTTGACATCATATATAGCTGTGTCAAACATTAATGATGGTTGCCCATTTTGGATCTCCCTTGCTTGTACTCCATTTCTTTTTATTTGTCTTTTATATTAAAAAAATAGTATTTTATTTAATATATATTTCAACAAACAAGTGAAGTGTGTTTTTCTTTAAAAAAATATAATCAAATCAACATGCATGAATCAACTAAAAAAATGAGGTGTTTGGTCATGTCTCATTATAAAAATTGATTAAAAAAAAGAAATTTTAATTTTCTGATATATTATGAAGAGAAGAGGTTGTTTGCAGAGGTAAGGTAGGGATCTGTGGGTTCAAATGAATTTATTATCTTTTATGTAAGTCTTGTATTGTATCAAAAATTGAATAAATATATATGTATATTATTAACGTGTGAGCCCTTAACAAAATTAACTTAGTGGTACGAAGTGTTGGTGGAAAATGTTTTTCGCACTATCATGTTGTGGGTTTGAACCCACTGTCAACCAATGAAGCATGTTTTGTAATATTATTTCGTTCTGTCCTAAAATTTAGAATCTCAAACTCATTATCTTGCTCCACCTCTAGTTGTTTGATATATAAGAATTATTATTAATTATTTCTTACTTATAGCTCAAGTTTATTTGTAATCCAAGTAATATCATAAATAGTATTAAATAAGGAATAAATCTCATCCGAATATTGATTACTTGATGGACGTACCAGATTAAATCCTAACCTCTATAAATTGGTCCTCCCTCCACCCATTAGGGTTAACCACATATTTTCTATAATAATTTCATCACTGACAATAGTGGTAACATGAAGTTAGGACAAGGAGGTAGAAACCAACTTACAACTAAAGCTTCCGCTTTTGTCTATGATGATGTCTTCATCAGATATGTGCCCTTAACAATCTCTATGTAAAATTATCGTATTTAAGATCCTGATATTATGTATAAAGTATATAATCTTACATGATATTCCAAGGAAATGCATATTAGAGTTATAGATTTTTACGTATTTTCATTTAGATTTTTTAAAACAATACGTTTCAAGTTCATAAAACAAAACAGTTATTTGACGTATCCACTGAAAGTTTCTATAAAGATATAAATATAAATAAGGACAAATGCATTTTATCTGATTTTTTAGTGCTCTAACTCCACACTCTTATTATTAGATGTTTATTTTGTGGAAGTGGATATTTGGAAGAAAAAAAAAGAGAAAGTGTGCCTCCACCATCTCAAACCTCTATTATGACGAGCTTCTTAATAATAATAGAAGC